TTATGATAAAAAAATCATTCTGTATATATATATATATATATTTAATATTTCTTCTTTTTCCTCGCCTAAATCCCAACTACTTGGGGTCGGCCCCGTAAATATTTATTATTTAATAAATAAAATTACTCAAAAACCGTACTCCAAAAAAATTTAATTAATATTCGCACGATACTTTTCATTGAGTACAATTAATTAAAACTTGATTTGTTATAACGTATCCGTAATAATAATAAGCTTTAAGTAGGTACGAATTTTGAATGTTCAATACCAAATAGTTGTTCATAATACATTCATAAACAATAATAATAATATTGCCAAGTTATAAGTTTTAATATAGATATACAAATATATAATAAAATCATAAAAGATACATATAATCAAATTTAATATAAAGAGACGATTTTCTCTAAAATCCATCATTACTCTTATAATTAAAAAATATTTTTTGCTTTGAAACTATTGCAGTGTTGCCCTCAGTTCCCCACAGTTAAAAAGATTTCAATAAAATTATTATATTTTACTGATAGTACTATGATAAAGTATGATGTAGTCTGTGAGGTTTTGTCATTCGCGGAAAATAAAATCGATTTACCTCGAAATGATTTTTGATGTAAATGGGTACAATGAGTTTTTAGAGCTAGTAATTATCATTTTAGCATGTACACCGCCAGATGGTGAAATTCAGTTCGAGCAACCTGGAGCATATCGCCATGCAATGTGGATGGCAAAAACCATCTATTGTTTAAAAATGTACATACATTGGCATAAATTTAAACTTACTTCAAAAGAAAGTTTTGCTTTAAAAGGCATATGCTGTATATTGTATGTATATTATTATTAAGCGTTACGCAAAACAATAGTTTGTCTGCACCGGTAAGATTTATCCAACTTTTTGGATTAATCAGTACGTGGTGAAATAATAAATATTGAAATAGAAGAAATTGTTGTAAAAAATGTTAGTTATTTTGTAACTCGAGTAAAGAATATGCTTGTTTCGCTTTGTTTAGTGAAAGGATTTCAGTGGAAATTAAAAGAAAAATAATAGATAAACCGACTAGAGTTAAATATGACGAACAAATAGACTACTCGAATAAATGTAAACGAAACTTTCTTCAACTAGATCCGGCTAAAAAAAAAGATAGTGAAAGCAATAATAATAGCCGACTATAAATATTTTCAGTAAGAGTAAATAACGGTCTGTAAAAATGGACTATAATTACGTTAAAATTACCAAAGACGATTAGCAAAAACAATATATTTTACGATTATTATATGAACGCATAGTGATCTTTTTTTCATTTTTTAAGTAACTAATATAAAGTAATTATATTTTTAATATATATTTTTTATTTGAAAAACACCTGATTTAAATTACTTTAAGGATTTTGGTGGAGTAATTAGATTTTTCCTATATATTTTTACGCTAACTATAATATTCAACAAAACTAATGTGAATGACTAAAAAACAACCCTATTCAGTCATACTTCAACCCCAGTGTGGCATGAGAAGGAATTGTTTGATCAAGTCCAAATTTTCACAGTACAAGTTTTATATGTCGAGTAAAAAAATAAGGGGGTGACGTGATCAAATATCTAAAAAAAATAATCTATTTCTGCGTTTGAACCATTCTCATGTATAGTCATATTATTTTTTATCTGTAAGGTATTATGTTGAAATCAACATGTGTGTTTCCTTATGAAAACATTTTTTTATGGAAGGCTTGCTTATTTCTCATTAATTCTATGTATTAATTTGAAATTTGTTTTCAGAACGATTGAATTGTCGTTGACCACTAGATTTCTAAAATAACAATTATTTTTGAAAATTTTGTTGGTTAAATACTTTTTATGTCCACTATTGAACCAGAAGTTCGAGAGTTGTGTACATTTTTTACCTTACTCAGGAAAGTAGCGTGACAGTATGATGTGTAATGATAATAATAACATATATAATTGGAGGTGAAAACAGATACATAACCTTTTTTTACCTCCAGTCTGATAATATTATCTTAACTAAAAAATGAAAGTCCACACAAACAGCATTTAATGCGCTAATATTTTATGCGTTTCTCTACGTTTTTACGTTAACTATAACACTAAACAAATCAAATGTATAAAGCTAAAAAATAACCCTATTCGGTGAAACTTAGACCCCAATGCGGCGCGAGTAGGAGTTGTTTGTTCGAGTCCGAATTTTTGCAGTACAAGTTTTCTATATCCGTCGCTTATTCCATTCGTCCTTTTACAAACACGACAAATATTAAATTTTTCTTTTATAATATTTCTACCATTTCGCTGCTTCTACCGATTGACCTCCGTGTACTTGTTTCTACTTTATAAAACACTACATTTTTTTGGTTAAAAATTCAATTTTGATTTTTCAGAAGAATTACTCAGGAGTTGCTTATGACCTATCAGATCTAGAAGATTTTCATTGGGCTACAGAATTTTTCTACGGAACTTACAAAGTTCATTTGGAGTACCATGACAAACGAGATAATGTGGTCGGTTCAGTAATCGCTTACATAATGATCAAGAGAAGAAATACTTAGAGTCGACAATCGGAGAATCCCTTATTTTTTAATATAACACAATTATACGTGAAATTTTGACTCGGCTTTTTAGAAACATTTTGCGAGAAACCTTCACCACATCGCTGTGCGATTATTTGCATAAATTAAATAAATATTACATTGGTTTTAAAATGTCCAATAAAAACTCGATTTCGTGATAAAATCATCTAGTTTATGTTCAGAACTCACGATTGAATATATTTTTCCAAAAGAAAAATTTAGTTATCAGGAGAACAAAAATTATTCTGCAAATGAAAACAACACCGTTTTATATGTGTACTATATGTGTTGCTACTGTACGTCGTATAAATATTTTTAGAATAATAACTCTGACAACCAATCAGATAAGTCCATCTTTTTCATAGAAAATAACTCAGTTAATTTTTAAATATTACGATTTTTTTTGCGTATTCCAGTACACATATGAGTTTTCATATAATTTGTGAATACCTTTAATCTAGGAAAACCGTTTTATCATTTCGTTACTCATGAAATATTTTTAATAAGATTGCTCTTCTCGAAATATTTTTAGTAAAATTCCTTTTAGAGAAATGTGTTTTAAAAACGCATTTATCTAGGTCACTACGCCTTTATTTAAAAAAATTCATATTTTAAAAATATAAATTCATTTTGAATCTGTCGAAATGTTTAATAGAAATTTTTTATATTATCGCAATAGTCAAAATTATTAAACGAATGATATTTGTGAAAAGTGGATTTAGTTAAGAGATCTAAAATACGATATAAATTTACACGATTGTAATAAGGAATTTTCATATTCCAATCACAATAAAAAAATAATAATTTTACTACCCGAGGAAACAATATTAATACCGACAAGGTATAAATATTGTAGTATATAAAACAAAATAAACGATATTTATATTATTACTGTCCATGTGTATTACTGCTGAGGTGAAAAAATTCGATTAAAATTAATAAATACTTGACTCGATCACATTTTTGCGAAATCCGCCGTATAAACGTACTGACACCTACTTCTAAGTTAATAGTATTTTTTTTTTTACGAATCTTTAACGCGTAAAGTTCATTCCGTTTTTATCGACCTAAACTTATTTGGGGTTATGTTCATAGTTGACTTCAAAAACTTAAATAAAAACCTATATAAATATCACTATACGATTTTATGACGAACGAACTCGGCGCTTGGGGTGACGCTGGTCACTATGGGAATTCATGCGGATAATCACACGGACATTTTTATAGCGGCTAGAGACTCTAGTACACTAATTAAAGAAGTTAAAGGCGAATAGCTGCGATTAACTCTTTCTTTATACGTTCCGATAGAAAACGGCCGGTGTCAAACCGACCGTTTGATCAATAACCGAATAATTGGAAAGATTTATAAAGAATACCCCCCATTACAGTTTCCAGAATCGCCCCCACTGACATAGTTTGAGAAGGGATCCGACGTTGTTGGCACACTGTAGATTGATATCCGATAGTGATTAGTATCAATATCATAAAGAACACATGTGCATATATCGTATATATAAAAAGAGATAAAAAAAACAAAAATTTAATAGTGATTTTTTCCTTGATCACATAAGTAATTATCTCTTTTAGTTTAATGAGATTCTTTAATAATAAATGTACAGGTAACAATTACATGGAAAAGTTATTAAAAAAATAATTATAATAAACTTAAACTAATAGAAAAACTCAAAATTAAGTGTATTCCATTAATCCGTATTCCATGTTTTCAGTGCATATTTTAATACACGCTTAATGATTTTTTAGAGTATGAAATCTGCAGCATTAATTCTATATATTTATTTCGATAATTATTCCTCGAAACTAACCTGAGAAATAATTGTTTCCATCAATAACATGCTTATTGCTTGTTTTATCGTTTTCGGAAGCAAAATTTAATAAGTGTGATCAATACGTACGGTGAGTTAGAAATCACTTATGAAGGTTATTGAAATACCTTACTCGATTACCTAATAAATTACATTAGAGTAATGAGAAGGTTTTAGGATTAATAGATAAGGCCCGAAATTTTACCATTCGTTAAATACCACCTTATCCCAAATAATAAAATGATAATCAAAATTAGGGATCGTCGTCATTGCTGCTTATTTACCGTTTGTGGTGTAGCTTGTAAAAATAAATAATTTCTCCTAACATAGTATCCCTTATTAATAAATTAAATTAATTTTATAGAAATACATTATATATTTTTGACTGGTTAACAAATAAGTAAATGACATCAAACCGAGAAGATGACTGATCCGATGTCATTTTTTAACCGGTATCTTATGAAATATTAGTATTTTTATACCCGGCCAAGAAGAGTAATCCTAAAAGCACAATTTAACAAGTATGTTCTATTAATTATATATGTCGACAAGTGTCACACGTGGTGTAGTCGGCACGAGTATAGATGATGTCCGACAGTGATTAAAATCGCCATCATAAGAAACGGTTCTATGCAAATCCGCGGATAGTGTTTTATTTTAAGAAGTCTGTGAATTATTCCACCTCTCTTTAAAGCGCGACTGGATCTCCAAGTAAAAGCGCGAGGAGTCTCTGGACGACTTGTTTGTACTTCCTGCGTTCTTTTTCAGACAGTTCTTTGCATTCCGCCGACCGATTTCTCACACGGATCTCAACACCAATGTTCGTTTCTCTTTAGCATTGCATTTCGATACTCGTCATTGCACACTTTTCTCCTCGATTTCTGTATTCGCCCAGGGATTTTTTTTTTTACAACTTCAACTACAGTTGTTCTTAATACGTTCCGTCTTTCGATCGAGTTCGGAGCTCGTCCGTTTGTCTCGACCTCAGCCCTTCTGTGATGTATCTTCAACGCATTTCAAGGAGGAAAGGGAAAATCTGCCCCTTGCTCCTCTAGGTCGGTATTTTGTTTTTAGTTTACTTTGTTTTTTTTTTTTAGTTTTTTGTAATCGGACGATCTTTGACTCGAGTCTGAATCTTGCAATTACCGAAAAACAATCCGAATCGCAGTCCGCTCCTTGATGGGTCCATTTCTCTAGCCCCCCTTTTTTTAATTTCGTAGTTTTTAATTTCCCATTCGTTTGTGCAGAAATGTGCACAAGGTCCCGTCGTTTGTGCACACTTACTTTCCGAGATATCGTAAAAAATAGTAGTATTACGTTTAAATAATTTAGTAAATGTTATTTGCTACTGTCATACGAAAATTCAAATAAATAATTAAGAATATATTTCATATTTATTTTAATTAGATTAAAACTTTTGCGTAGTTATTGTACTTAAAATGTAACTGATTAAAAATAGGTAATAGTATATTTAATAAATTTATTTGTTTCTTTTTTTTTAATAATTATCAAATTTTGAACTGACATAATCTTTTAATTAATATTAAGGATTGTCATTCATTTTTTAAGGGTGATTATTTAGTATTCCGTATTTAGTATTTAGTTATCGAAATGGTAGTTTTTCTATATTACAGTTGGCCTAATGGAATTTACGAAGTAACAACAGTAATATTATTTATAGATGTAATATATTTGAAGTAATTACACAATGACGAAAATCCTTGAGTAATACTTTGTTTAGTAAAATCTAGCGTCACGAGCAGGTGGACAATTAAGCATATTTATCTCTATTGATGTACACAACTCAATTTTATTTTAATTCTAGTTTACTACCCTTTTTTTTTACACCAGTAATACGGTAGTAATGAGAGGCAACGAAGATTCACTACTTACGTGAATAAATTCAACACTATTAATATCTTAATTCAAAATATGTTTTAATAAACATAAAAACAAGAGAAAATATTACAAATCGCACTGGTGAAAGTTTATAAAATGTTAATGTTTAATGTTTTGTACGTCGTGAGTAAAAAAATAAATAAAAATATAGTTTAAAAAAACACGTTTTTAAAGCACATTGAACTAAAAAGTTAAAAATAATGTTTAAAATAAGCTTAAAACAATAATAAACGAAAAATACTAATTTTATTGTGAAAAAACCGCCGGGAACTCAATATACGAAAAATATGGCACTCCAGTCGATAATCCTTTGTATCTTAGCAAACAAGTGGAGGTACTCTAATTAGACTGAGCTCGCAAAGTGACTAGGCCGTGTATCCAACGGTATAAAGATCTTAAATTCTAAAATAACTGGCTATCTTATTCTCAGCGACATCCTTGCCACCCGGGTCACGTGCACACAATGCCTTCTCTAAATGCGACTCTGTATATTTATATTAAGTTAATGTCGAGTATGCTAAGATTTCTTTGTTCTAAATAATAATAATTTTAATATTTATTATAAATGTTGCCAAAAGTGGAAGAATGATAAAGTTATATTTAAATTTAGTATTTAGGTAGAAATTCGTTATCGCAAGTTAACGCGACACTGGACGTCTGAACCGATATGTACATGCATAATGACCTTAAATGGCTGAGGTCTTGAAAATTAAATAAATATTAATAAATATTATAAAAGTATAATATGATAATAGAAAGGTCCCCGAATGAATTGGCCGTAGATCCCAAAAATCCTTAGTACGGCTCTGCACTTAGTATGAAACTATTCTGAGAGTTACACATAAGTTATTAATTGTATTATAATATTATTTTATAATTTGTCTTTTTTTTGCAACTGCCTTTTGAATATTTTTTCAAAAGTTAAATAGAAAAAGTTAATTTTTTGTGAAAAAGTTGTCATTTTAAATTCCTCCCTGTGGGCAGATAAAGGGTCAGATTTATAAAAAAAATATACCAAATGATAGGTAAAGACATCAAACATCTATAAAAACAAAATTATATTGATTTGTTCATTTTTAAGAAAGTTATGACAGTTTTAAGTAAAAAAAATTGAAAGAATTTCGTAAATTAGCGATTTTTAAATTTGTAATTTTTTTGGAGGTTTCCCCAATTATGGGAAACGAGGGAAATTTTTTCAATTTTTGAAGGTAATGTCTTCGACAAGATACGATTTGTGATTTTTTGACGTATGGTTGAAAGAAATCCGTTCGGTGAGAGCTGAGAAAAANCGTATGGTTGAAAGAAATCCGTTCGGTGAGAGCTGAGAAAAAGTGGTAACAGACACAAAAAAAAAAAACACACATCATAGTAAAACTACTACCTTC